TTTTACCACTGTAAAATATTTAATATTAACCAATCATAATCCATCTAACTAACAACCCACTTATTTGTAAGTGCTGAAATTACTTGTAATTTCAGCACCAGAGAGATTTGAATTTAACTTAGAAATTAGTTGCCTCTCCAAGAGAACTTCAGCTGCCGCAATAAGCCAGTATACTCTAGATCTATTGAGCCTAGCAGAGACTAGTTAAACACCCTGAGACTAGTAGATATAAGAGTAAGATTAGGATCGGTATTAGACTAAGAAGTTGCACGAATCTATCCGGCCGAAAATAAGATAGCGTGACGAGCAGACGGTGTACCCTATCCGAAATTACTCTATGAGTTAACCAAATACATCTTAACTCAACTGGGCTTTTCAGAAAAAAAAATTCTTTGTTTGTATTTTCATTCTAATTTTTGAAAAGGCATATATCGATGGCAGCAATTAAGTTATAAAAACTAGTTATCAATTTACTGAAGAATAGATATCATCAATAAGACAAACAAAAATGTGGGTTGTATCTATGCTTGTATCTAAGTAAAGAACAACTGAATTATACAGAGCTTTCTTTGATAACTGTTGATAAAACGAGTCAGACAATTTTGATTTAAGTTTTCAATAAGCTAACGTTGCATAGCGATCATGGCAACATCATTTTGCAATTTGATCATTAAGTAGTGACTCATAAACTATTAAACTAAGACAAGTTTCTTTTCGTTCTTAACCCTCCATCAAAAGTAAATGGCTTTTGAGTTTACCAACAGATATTGACGGCGAACAAAATATGGCTGGTATATGTGATTAAAATAGCCACTTTTTTGTAAAAAGCAAGAATAGAGTCGCTTTGAAGCCCGCAAACTAACTTTGCTAAAAAATGACAATCGTTGCAACATAATGTCGAAAATTTGACAATATGCAGTGACGCATTATTTTTAAAGTTCTAACATGTTTTTAGTGAAGAAAAGGCTATTTGAGTTTCTTTCAGACTTAGATGAATTGATGACTTGAAGTGAGAACTGTGCTGTAAAAAGCATAAAAAACTATTTGGTTTTTGGTTAACGTATCTAATAGCTTAAGGTTGATGACTGTTTATTTTTTGATGATATTTTGTTTTAGTAGTCAAGGCAATAATTCAAAAAGATCATGTCGATCTCACTCTAACATTGCATTTCAGCAGTCCTGCAGACCAAGAAATCAGAGTAAAACGAAAATCAGTATCAGACTAAAAAAAACTGCCCTTGCTTATCTAGCCAGAAACCATTTTATAACCATTTTCCACAGATATATGATGTGCTCAATTGAGATGATATGCTCAACAACCTGTCCCGACAACCTTAATTCAGAACAAAAATGCTTGTAAAAGGCCAAATCGCTGAACGTTCCGACTGCCTCAGGTCCAAAGAACAAGGATGATGTTAAAGAAGGTAAAGCTTTGTGAACGGTTCAAAAAAATTTGAAATAAAAGGACTTTTAAAAAAAAAGATAATTGAAAAAATCATTTTTAAAAAGTCCACTCTCACGCTCTTCAGTGAACAAAATGATGCAGAGAATCCATAACTTGTCTCATATCAAGTTGGGTCGATATCTGGGCCAGATTAAAACACCGCTCACGTGTTATAAGAGCGGATTATGTTGCACATTAATTGACCCAAATTAGCTAAATTTGCATTTTTCAAACGGCAAAAAAGAACAGGTGAAAAATTCTGCTAAAGTTGATCTCAATTCAAAGCTTAGTTAAACAAGACTGCTCGTATCAGGGCGAAGCCCTGAATGTTCCGACTGCCCTGTAAAGTTTATGGGGCAGTAATAACATTAAAAAGTTAAATGTAATAAAAATGAAACTTTTTTATCTTCTAAAATTTGAAACTTTTTATGAAAATCATCCCCCCACAAGCCATATAAAGTACAAAAAGATACATTTCGCTCCTTGTAACAAATCAATTATGGCAAATAAGCTTCTTTCAAGCAACTTGAAACAATTTCTAAGACGGATTAACTCTCCGCTTTCGCGTTAATAGCGCGAAATATATCGCGCGTTAATTGTCCCAAATTAGCTAAAAGGGCAATCTTTAAACCGCCATAACTTTACGAAAAATGATCACAGCTAAAATATTTTTTCAAACTTGAGCCCAAGACAATAATACCTTTCGAATAAAATTTTAAAAGTTGCGTCAAAAATGGCCTGTTAAAAAGTCGAAATTTGTCTGAAGAAAAAAAACCCACCCCGAGCACAAATATTCCGTTACTTTTGTATCGAAAATCGGAACAAAAATGACAATCGTTGCAACATAATGTCGAAAATTTGATAATATGCAGTGACGCATTACTTTTAATATTCTAACATGTTTTTAGTGAAGAAAAGACAATTTGAGTTTTTTCAGACTTAGATGAATTGATGACTTGAAGTGGGAGCTGGGCTGTAAGAAGCATAAAAAACTATTTGGTTTTTGGTTAAGGTATCTAATAGCTGAAGGTTGATGGCTGTTTATTTTTTGATGATATTTTGTTTTAGTAGTCAAGACAATAATTCAAAAAGACCATGTCGATCTCACTCTAACATTGCATTTCAGCAGTCCTGCAGACCAAGAAATCAGAGTAAAACGAAAATCAGTATCAGACTTAAAAAAATTGCCCTTGCTTATCTAGCCAGAAACCATTTTATAACCATTTTCCACAGATATATGATGTGCTCAATTGAGATGATATGCTCAACAACCTGTCCCGACAACCTTAATTCAAAACAAAAATGCCTGTAAAAGGCCAAATCGCTGAACGTTCCGACTGCCTCAGGTCCAAAGAACAAGGATGATGTTAAAGAAGGTAAAACTTTGAGAACAGTTCAAAAAAATTTGAAAAAAGGACTTTTAAAAAAAAGATAATTGAAAAAATCATTTTTAAAAAGTCCACTCTCACGCTCTTCAATGAACAAAATGATGCAGAGAATCCATAACTTGTCTCATATCAAGTTGGATTGATATCTGGGCCAGATTAAAACACCGCTCACGTGTTATAAGAGCGGATTATGTTGCACATTAATTGACCCAAATTAGCTAAATTTGCATTTTTAAAACGGCAAAAAAGAACAGGTGAAAAATTTTGCTAAAGTTGATCTCATAAATCTCAATTCAAAGCTTAGTTAAACAAGACTGCTCGTATCAGGGCGAAGCCCTGAATGTTCCGACTGCCTTGTAAAGTTTATGGGGCAGTAATAACATTAAGAAGTTAAATGTAATAAAAATGAAACTTTTTTTTCTTCTAAAATTTGAAACTTTTTATGAAAATCATCCCCCCACAAGCCATATAAAGTACAAAAAGATACATTTCGCTCCTTGTAACAAATAAATTATGGCAAATAAGCTTCTTTCAAGCAACTTGAAACAATTTCTAAGACGGATTAACTCTCCGCTTTGGCGTTAATAGCGCGAAATATATCGTGCGTTAATTGTCCCAAATTGGCTAAAAGGGCAATCTTTAAACCGCCATAACTTTACGAAAAATTATCACAGCTAAAATATTTTTTTGCAAATTTGAGCCCAAGACAATAATACCTTGCGAATAAAATTTTTAAAAGTTGCGTCAAAAATGGCCTGTTAAAAAGTCGAAATTTGTCTGAAGAAAAAAAATCCACCCCGAGCACAAATATTCCATTACTTTTGTATCGAAATTCGGAACAAAATGACAAACGTTGCAACATAATGTCAAAAATTTGATAATATGCAGTGACGCATTACTTTTAATATTCTAACATGTTTTTAGTGAAGAAAAGACAATTTGAGTTTTTTTCAGACTTAGATGAATTGATGACTTGAAGTGGGAGCTGGGCTGTAAGAAGCATAAAAAACTATTTGGTTTTTGGTTAACGTATCTAATAGCTGAAGGTTGATGGCTGTTTATTTTTTGATGATATTTTGTTTTAGTAGTCAAGACAATAATTCAAAAAGACCATGTCGATCTCACTCTAACATTGCATTTCAGCAGTCCTGCAGACCAAGAAATCAGAGTAAAATGAAAATCATTATCAGACTTAAAAAAAACTGCCCTTGCTTATCTAGCCAGAAACCATTCGAAACAAAAAGCCAATTTATTTGAAATGAAACAACAAACTAAAATCAAAATTAAACAAGGATAGGCTGTTGCTGAGCAAGTATCACAGAATGTTCCGACCATATTATCCACAAAAACTGCAAAAAAAAAAACATTTTAATCTTTAAATTAAAACGTCATTTCTTCTACGTGGTGAGATTAGAGATCCCTAAAAACGCGTAGAAACTTAGTGCGTTAGGCATAAAAGACTACAAAGGTCTCCAAAAAATAGATAAACAAAAATGAGAAAAAAATTCAAAAAAATTTCTAAAATGTTTCCTAATTTTGAACTAAAAATTTTAAATTTGTATGACAATTATCAAAAAAGTGCGTACTAAAGCTTCCAAAACTGGTTTCATTTTTAGTAAAATCAAGTTTACCTAGCCTATACGGCCAATAATTTCATATAACGAACGTTACTCGTTCGCTTTACTCGCTCGAAATTTAACTAAAACTAAAAAAATTTAAACCGGTTTTTCTCAACACTGGGAAAAATTTTCGGATTTTTTTGAATGTCCTCGAATCATGACTGAAAGGGCATATTGCTCCAATAGTTATTTATGCTACCTGATTTTACGTGGAAAACAAAAACAAAAAAACTTAAACGCATCCAAATACACAGTTCCTCCAAATTTTTCAAATGGCTGAAACAAAAATCGAATTTTCTTGTTTTGTGTCTCTCGAAAAACTGATATCTTTTTAGTAATTGTCGGAATTTTCAAACTAATTTTTTAAATCTTTCTGGTTTTGTAGCTTTCGTTCGTTTCATTTTTTCAAATTATGGTTTAGTCATCCTCAACAAACAACCATTTGTTTTTTTCCTTGTGCGCATAGTTGTTCTAGGCGGTAAAAAACGGTACATGTATTTTCAGAGAAAAAGATATTTTAATCGATCTCATTGGCTTATTAAATCATGTTTCAGAATTGCAACAGACACTAATACACAGTCACAAGCAGAGAAACCATATCATACCATATTTGTTTGCGTCAGCTGGATAATCTTGCTTTGGTTACATGCGTTGAGACGTTCGTTTGTGTCGACAGAGATGTTGTAACTGAACAGAATTGCAAACTCTACAACTGCACCGCTTCTCTCAGCAGCTTTACGCAAATTACCAAACAGAAGAGATCCAGGGTACGTTTTGTAGTATTTTTTTTCAATCAATTTAGTAAATTTTTTCAACTGATATTTTTTTTAGTTAATTTTTTCAACTGATAATTTTTCCACAGTAGTTTTTTTTTGGAACAAAAAACATTTTAGGCCATATATGCCGCTCGCGCTGTCTATACTAAGAGGTCTTGAAACTATGAATCTTTATAAAAAAACACAGTTTGATCAGACTTCGAATCTCTGTGCGACTATGCTAAGAATGCACGACGTGGCGAGTGATTTTGACCCGCGGTGCGGATAGCAAACTTCGGGTGCTTCATCATAGATTCCAAAATGAAAAATCAGTTCCATGCTAGTAATGTAAAACGTGGACCTAAACGAAACAGAAATGTTGAAAAAATGAACCAAATAGATAATTGACTGAAAAAAAAATCAGTTCCATAGGTTCCAAAAAAGGTTACATAAGTCCCAAATCGTTTCAATCGATTAAATACTTCATTAGCCGACTCTCTTTGACATGCTCACAACTCAGGGAACTGGTCACCCGCATGACTGAGCTTAACTGAATTCATGCCGTTTAAACAAACAAAAAATTTATTCACCTATTCGTTGGCTCTGAATTCAGGAAGAAAATTTTTGGGGCTTTATGCGACTGATTTTTCATTTTGGTTTCTATGAACATTTAAGAATTCACCGAAATTTGATCTAACAACGATATTGAGCTCGACTTTTCTAAAGCGCCGGGTGTCGAGCGCAGGATTATTTGACGAAGCGATTTTTGTTAAAGTCGCAGCACTTCATTTATTCGATCAATATGAACAAACCACAATTTTCTGAAACATAAAAAAAAAAAAATTTTTCAGAATGCTTTGACATGGTACTGCATTTTTGTTTCCATGCATCCAACCCTTAGACTTAATTTATATTGGCGCTTCCCTGAAAAAAAAATCAAAATGTACTATGTTAGAGTCATTCGGCTATGATTGGATGCAGTTTGTACTAAAATGGGAATCCTGTGGTGAGAAAACTACAGTCAGAAAAGATGGAACTCGTGAAAAAATCACCACTAGCATAATCAGTATAAAAATCAGTTTAAGACAAAAAGAACTCAAAAGTACGACACCTTCATCATCGAAAAGATCCCTCTTTAAGAATTATCTTTAGAATTATTATTTAGTCGACTGAACGAAATTTTCTTTTTCACTTACATGTTTATAAAAAAACCAAATACCGCTCTTGTTTGCAAGCCATCCTGCTTTGGGATTTGCTTTACAGCTATAGAACAAATATTTAAGAAAAGTCTATGAAAAATTTTACCAATTTGTGCAACTGGTTCATTGCGGGGAACGAGAATAAAGTCTCAAACCCCCAATCTCATAAGTAAACCCAACAAACTATATTCATTATTGAATCAAATCAATTCAATTTATATTTCACGTATATCTATCTTTTAAACTAGTCAAACCATAATTACTTTCCGACAAACTCTTACTTTCAGAAAATTGTCGTTTTCTGCGACTTTGTGCCTCGGAAACCAATCTCGTCAAGACACAGAGAAGAGCCATTAGATGTCAGGTATTCCAAAAAGTATCACCAGAGACGATCTGGATCAGAATTCGATGAGAGATCCAGACTCCTTGCACTACTCCAGTCTGACTGTTGAGTCATCCCAGTCACAGGGTAGCTCAAAGAATTCAAGCCAACGAGCTACCCCAACTGGGAAAATTAAGAAGGGTAAGAAAAATTTAATGTTTTTACGACTGATATTTTTTGGAGAAAAAATTCTAAATTTGTTTCCCATTTTTTTTCTGTCAAATTGCACCTTTTAAAAATGTTCAATTAAACTTGCACATGTTTTATTGCTCTGATCAGAGAAGCTCTTCAATATCTGAGGCCTCATAGCACTTACTTTCCTAAGCAAATCATCTTCTCTCAGTAAAGAAATGCAATCCTATAAAAGGATACGTCAACGATTCAGCACTACGATTGCAATAGCGAAAGGGGAGAATAAGTCAGATCCTTTTTTGGTTTAGTACATAGAGATATCTTTTTTTCCATGAATTTGATCACTTTAGACAAGAAAGCCGACAAACAAAAAGGATCCTCAAAGAAGTAGACGAGAAGGCCGACAAGATCAACAAAACTTCTTCTAGTGAGATAAATGATAACTTACCCTAATTTAGATATTCAGGATTAACAGTAAATTTAAACACTGTTTTTAATAGTATAAATTCAAATCATTTTAATTAAATAAAAATATTTATTAAAACTATATAAAAACTACCTGTTTTTATTTTAATCTGACAACCAATTGAATGTTGTTTGAAGATAAAACGATCAAAAACAAATGAATTTGAGCTGAGCGGGGTAGATTTTTGAGGCTTTTTGCATCTTGGATAGGATTCTACCCTAGTCGATCAAGGAAGGTTATCTTGCAAGCTCTTGCAAGATTCGTTAAAAGACGATGCATTACATTCAAAGATCTTGCAAGAGTCTTGCAAGATCTTGCAAGATAACCTCCTTTAAAGATAACCTTTTTTAAAGCAAGATCTTTGAAGATATGATATTTTGTGGGGGGGGGGACTGCTTTCAACGCGAAGACAACCTTCCAGCGTTCGTGGGAGAAGGATGCTATACATACACACAGCCCGCATTGCCCCCAGAAGGCTATAATTTTCAAGTTTTCATGAAAAGGATGGCCATTTCTAAGTTTTGATTGCCAAATCATAGCTACCTCTGTCACAAAAAATATCAAAGCAGACAAAAATTTAAATAACATATTTCCAGCAAAAAAAATCGTTGAAAGCAAGAAATACAGAAGGAAAATTAAGTTTTTGTAAACTTGTAACTCATTTTGTTTTTATTTTTTGCTCAATTCGTGTTTCCTTCTTTTCTAATGTCACATCTTGCCAATTTGAATAATACTGCTTGTCCCTTCGTTTCATTCGCGATTGTACTGGAGCGGTTTTTTGACAATTTTTTCCGAATTTCAATATAATAATCATAAGAATTTTGATAATAAGTAAAAATTTGAGATGTAAAAAAAATCCACTAGAAAAGACGCCGCGTAGCCACAATATTTTTGAGAAATGAGATTGTACGCTGTTGGATAACAGAAACATGATCTGAATGGTTACTTTAAGCGTTCAATAACGACTCAAAAAACGCATAAATTTCCGTTTTGCTTCAAAAATGCTTCAAAATTCTTTTGATGCAGCAAAGCGTTCGAAGTTGTTTTGAAAGCATCAAGCTACAAAATTCTGTTTTTATTCAGTTTTTTTTTTGTAAAATAAGCGTTTATTTATGCGACGGGGCTATTTTGCAAACCTCAGTTTTTTATTCATGATTGTCTTATTTGTAAGGTTACGCAAATTGGATGCTAATAGCTTATGGGTTTTTTGGGAGGGGGATCTTTTTTAAACTGTTTGTGTCTTGAATGTACTTCAAAACTTGAGACTGATTTTGTCTTGATTTTGAGACATTTTTGTTCGTAAGTCAGAAAATTACCTTTTTTGTGAATCAAGAAATTTTTTTTAAAAACCAACACTACAGCGCCATAAGCTAGACTTTATCGATTATCGTGCCATATTTATCCACTATATTTGATTATAGTGGATTTTTGAGCCACTATAATCAAATAATTTTGAAAAAAAAAAATCTATTAAAATCCATTATAATCGATTACAGTCCATTTTTGTTATCAATATAATGCATTATTTTATGGACATAAAATCTATGAAAATCGATTAGTTTTTATAGATAATTACTTTACTTTTTGCAGCTTTCTCTCACCATGTTCACTAATTGCCACCACCATGCCCCCTGTTGCGCCCCTTCCAACCCCCAACCCCGCCCTCCACCAAATCTCAATACCACCGTTCACCGCCGACCCCTTGCACTCTAACAATCCACCGTACTCCGCCAACCCCCGTACTTCTGATTAAGCCCCTCCCTCCTATTCTATAATATACTCCATCTACTCCTTCCCCGAGTCCCCCCTCGCTCCCTGGTTTAACCCACCATCGCCAAAGAACCCCACCATACACCCACGCGAAGACAACCTTCCAGCCCACTGAAAGAAAATACTATGGGGGTAGAGGTTAACGTGAGGGAAGGAGAGGAGGTGTTGCTGCGCGTCAGATTGTGCGGATAGCGAATAAAACTGAATAACAAAAATATCGTTTTCAACAATAAAAGCGATAAACGTTAATAAAAAATGAAGTCTATTGAGAGGTCAAAATAGTTAATTTGAGTTTAAAATTATTATGAACAAAATAAAGTAGCACAATAAATATGTTTTTATAAAAATTGATGATAATCCAATCTAATCGATTAAAAAGGATTAAATTTCTTTCAAAAAAGTTTTGGAAATTAGCAGAAAATGAGTTTTACTGCTTTGAAAAATATTAACAAATTAATTCAATTCTTATCTATTATTATTGATTAATTTTGAGTTTCAGTGACAAAGACTATACATATCATATATTATCGGTTATTATCCATGAAACTTCAAAGCCATAACTGAGTCGCCTATTGTATAGAGAGACTTAAAATTTGCCATGGTCTTACTATTTATCGAATGTTGTCCGTGACCAGACGAACACGGTTGATCCCATAAATGAATTATCTACTTAACTCGTCTGTCAGTGTCATAGGTACTTCTCTCTTCAAGCCTGGTCTTGACGCCTTTCGTTACGCCTGGACTCTCTGAACTACATAAAAATTTTATCTTGCTGTTAACAAATGAAAAGTAGGCAAAACTGTTTGTATCAGGGCGAAGTCCTGAATGTTCCGAATGCCTTTTAAGGTCTATGGAGCAAGAATAACATGTAAACGTTAAAATTAGAATTTTTGTTTTATTTTGAATTTTTTTGTGAACTTCATCTCCCACAAATATATAAAGTACAAAATGATGGATTTTGCTATTATTAACAAATCAATTATGGCAAATAAGCTTCCTTCAATCAATTTGGAAGAATTTCTAGGTCGGTTTAAATCTCCGCTTACTCGTTAATAGCGCGAAAAATATCGCGGTTTAATTGTCCCAAATTGGCCCAAATGACAATCTTTAAACCCCCATAACTTTACGAAAATTGATCACAGTTGAAATGTTTTTTTTTTCTAATTTAAGCTCAAGACAGTAATATCTTTGCAATGATAAAAATTTATGTCAAAAATGGCTACTTAAAAGTCGAAAGTCGGAACAAAAATTGATATTTTCGACAATCGGAACAACAATACTTTTTGATTGATATAAAAAAGTTCATCAAAGTTAAAAAGCCTGTCTGAAGAAAAAAAAACCCACCCCGAGCACAAATATTCCGTTACTTTCGTTATGAAAGTCGGAACAACAACAAAAAATTACTTTGATGCAATCTAAATGATGTTCCGACACCTAAAAGTAGGGAAGAATTTGTAATCGGTCTTGTTTCAGTTTCTCTATCCATATTTTTTTCTTTTCTATGCAAAAATAAGGTACCACAAAATAATCGTCAGATGAGATTGACCAAAACATCATAATAAAAGCTTTCCAATTGTTTAATCGCAAATTTATTGACCTTAAAAACTTTGTCTGAAACTGATAGTTTTGTTATTCAGTCAGTTTTTTTCGCTATCCTTACAATCTGACCCGCAGCAACCCCTCCTCCTCTTCCCTCACGTTTACCTCTACCCCATAGTTATATATTCCAGTGGGCGGTGGATGTGTGGTGGGGGTGGGGGTGTTTGACGATGGTGGGACAAGCGCGATAGAGTAAAATAGGAAGGATGGGTGTAGTGGAGGTACGGGGGTTTGCAGGGTACGGTGGATTGTTGGAGTGTAAGAGGTCAGCGGGGTCGGCGGTAGACGGTGGTATGGAGCTTTGGTTGAAGTTGGGGTTGGGATTGGCGGGGGCCTAAAAGGGGCATGGTGGTGGCAATTAGTGAACATGGAAAAATGTTCTGTAAATGTCTACTGTATCTGCCCGCGAGTTATAAACATCAAGCTTACAGTTTAGCCACTGATTTTAAAAATATTTATATGAGGTTCAAAAATTGTTTGTAAATAGATAAAACAGATTATGCCAATTTGAATGACAGGTCTAACCAAAAAAAATAGGTATCTTAATTTAAACTTTATACTTTGAATAAGTATCCAATCAAATTTTGAAGTTTTCTTTTTGTTTTGAAGATTTTTTTAGATCTTAAATCTAACAAGACTGGTCATATCGGCTCAAAAACCCTGAAAGTTTTGGTTGCCTTTCAAGACCTATGGGGCAGTATTAACATGAACAAATTACAGGTAAAATAAAACAAGATTTTTTTCAAATCTGAGAATTTTTGTATAAACCTTCCCGTCACTCGCCTTTTTAAGTAGAAAGTGATAGATTTAGCTCCTAGTAACAAATCAATTATTGCATTTATTTATCAATTAACTCTCGGACAGATTAAATCTCTGCTTGCGCGTTAATTGCGCGAAATAGATCGCGCGTTAGTTCCCCAAATTGGCCAAAATAGCAATCTTTGGACCCCCATAACTGTACAAAAAATGATTACAGGGAAAGTTTTTTTCAATTTTAAGTTCAAGACAACAATACTTTTTAAATGATTTATAAAAATTTCGTGAAAATTGCTAGTTAAAATTTCAAATTTCGTCCAAACAAATATTCCGTTACTTTTGTTACGACAGTCGGAACAAAAGACAAATTTTGTCAACATAGTTCGTTCAAGAAAAATTGAAGTCTCGACGCAGTTTAGTCCCAGGCAATTTGCTTTAAGAACTCTTGCACCTGGTCTCTGCGGCTCTAACAAGCTTCGTTTTTTGTCTTGAGGAACAGATCAAGGCTACTTAGTAGTTTTCCTGGTTTTCTAAAAACTAATTTTTTGTTTAGGCTCCGAAAGGACTAAATCCATAATTTTTTTTTGCCTCCGTTACAAAGGAAGGTGATTGAATAATTTTTCTTCTAGAAAAAATTAAAATCTTATTTGCGGTTCAAAAAAACTGATCTCAAAAAAAAGATTAAAATAGATCAGTTTCCAAAAAAACTGCAGTATTCGAACAAATTTTGAACAGATTTTCAATCAAAATTAGGCAGCTGAAAAATGATACAAAAAAAAGGGAAGCTTTTATTTCAGAATCAATATATTGACTCAACCAGTCGAGAATAGCACAAAATCTATTTGAATTTCAAGTATGTTATTGAGATCATAGCCTGTTACGTTTGTGTATTATTTTCAAAACTAAAATTCACCCCTTTCTCAAAAATTAAGGTGTTCAAAAACACTTTTGTTATTGTTTGATA